AGTGCTCTCTGGTAATTAATGAAAAGTGCCCAAACTCAGGGAATACAGGAGAAGGCCAGACACTGAAGAGTGTGTGTATATAGGGAATGAGTAGGGGTGCCATGAGGTATAGAAAAAGAGATGGTGGGATTCTGACTGGACCCCTTTCCCAAAACGTGCTGTCTCAGGTATCTTGAAGCTGAATACCTGCACCATGCAAGGCTGGGCCCTGGTACTTGACACCCGATTTCCTTGCTATATCCAATCTTTATATTAGCTTCACTGTGCTGATTCTACATTTATGGTGGAAGACTACAAGTGACATTTATGAATGCAATGTCTTAAATCCTGAAGATGCTGAATATGTCAAAGCAACTAAGAGATTTTCTAATTAAAGAAAGCCAAGATTACAACGCCAGGGATAAGCAAAAGGCAATAGACTCGGAAAAGTTTCCTAGAGTAATTAATTGAATGTCAGAAAAGAATAATTTATTCTGGAAACATAACTGTGAGAATAATAAGAAAAAAATGATGCCTACAAAAAGGCAAGGACCGCACAATCAAAATGAAGGGGCGGTGACTTCCCTTAAGATTTTTCCTGAGCCCAAAGCGGTAAAAACCAGTAAAGATGAGTTAATTTCGCCTAAAATAATAAACTCGCACCTAGAAAACAGTAAACTACCCATAGTAGAAAGAGGAGTTCGGGCTCAAAACAAGTTATTACAGAGAAACAAGACCAGGAAAAGATACAGAAATACCGAGGAGAAAGAACGACAGTTATAGGCCAGGGTGAAAAACTACTACAGTGTTGCCACCCGATTAGACAACAGAAAACAGTAAAATCTGAAAAGTTAGAGACAAAAATCAACAACATATTACAATCATGGGAGAGGACAAAAATGGAGGGGGAAAAAAAAACACCTGGAAAACTGTAACATTCCGATTTTCTTTTAGCAACTAAGCATTATGGTCAAAAAAGAGGAAGAACTTTCCATGTTAAAAAAAAAAAAATTAAAGGGGAGAGATTCAACCATGAAATTTTCATCCTTGAAAATCCCAGGTAAACTTAAAACTGATAATGATCTGAACATTAGAAGAAAATTAAAAGTAATAGTCTCACTCCGGCTTCTAATTATATACAACACTTTATCGCTGCGGCATCTCCAGTACTCAGCACTGAATGAACTCCAAACCTGCTGTGTCTTCAACATTCCCTCTGCCTCTACCAGCTTCCACCCCACAGATTCACAACATAAGGACTCTGGACTCCCCCAGCCTTCAACCTCCATGGCCAACACCAACGCAGTGTTATGTTTTGTTTTGCTTTGAACTGGAGGTGGTAGGGGCCTCGTCCGGCTCAGAACTCGAGTCCGTAACAAAGATTCTCATTACCGAACCGTGTTCTCAGTGAGGGCAAGTGGCTCGTCATCGCCAGACCATGACCATCCTCTCCGCTGAGAAGGGCTGGGTGAGTTCAGAGCCCAAAGGTCAAGGGTTCAGGTCACAAGCACCCCGAGGCTCGCAGCACAACACAGCTGCAGCATGCCTGCCTGTGGGTTTGTTTCGCCTCCTGGGCCCTGTGGTCTCTGTGGGGCTGGCTGCGGCCGGCTGGACCTGTTCCTGAAGCCGTGGGCCTCTCCAGGTGCTTTCTGGGCCAGCCCTCACCCACAGCACCTACCACTTCAGATTTCTATCCGTTCTCCTGTCTAACTCCCCTTGAGCCTGGACTTCTCCTCCTCCCGCGCAGCTTCCCCTCAGACTCGGGGCACGCGCTCTCAGCACTGCTTTCCGTCACCCTTCCCCACACTGTGCGCTGTGGGCAGGGATCAGTCTTAGTCACCTCTGTGCTGGTGTCTGCCACAGAGTGGGCATCGGGTCAACGTGCCAGACCCGGCACAGCACTGGGCGGGCAGGCACTCATTCAGTAAACGGTGGTGAGATGAATGAATAACAAGGAGTAAGTGAAGGAAAATGAAAGGTGAGTTGGACAAAAGTTTAGTTTTTTGGAGTAATCAGTTCAGGCTGAAGAAAATGACAACTCATTAGTATTTTACATGCTTCAACTCTTGCCAAACAAAAACCCCACCTCTTAAACTGAACCTAGTAAAGATTAAGTTCTGCTCAATAAAAGTGTTTAAAACCACTGGTTTTAACAAAGAACGCTTGATCTACTACAAATTTACAAATTGCACAGTTCATGCTTGCCATGCACAGAAAGGCAGCCACAAGCACCAAAGAAAAACTAAAGTTGACTAAAAGAAAAATAAAAGCTGACAAATTTACAAGGTTCACTACATGTACCATGGAGAAACATCAAACACCAAGAGAAAAGTTAAAGGGGAAACTTACAATTACCTGCTGGTCTGAGGGAATAAATTCAAGAGCTTTCTGGATAACACGGCAGCCATACATCTGCAATGCCAATGACAGGACATGGCCTCGAATCCGTTCAGCCAAAGCCAGCTTCTGTTCAAGGCTGCCAAACTAGACATAATGTGTGGGTGAACACCATTACTTAGGTAGAAGGAAAGAAACCAGAGAAAGCAAAGCATTCATTATTCTGTATCAACCACTGACATACCTCTTTTAGCCCTGTACCTATGATTAACTAAACCTTTTAAAAAGCTTTTGGTTCTTCAAGAAGGTAGTAGTTCTCTGCCTCTGATTAGGAGGAACTGTTTTTAATGTTAAAAAAAATTTCTCAGCTACCAACAGCAGTAGTTTCATTACTAATATATGCTAAACAAAAAAATATGTAATTCCTCGAAGCTGCCATTAATATTATTAAATGAATCTGTACTCTATTAATTATAAGAGCATTTATGTTTATTCTAATATAATACCTGTGGGAGACACTGTTTATTAGGGCTTTTAGACAGCATCTAGGGAAGATTCAAGGACTTCTTGCAGCAAAATCAACACCACATCAGGTATCTGAGGCCCCCAAGCTGAAAAACTCCTTTGTCTACATGATATTTAAGCCAAAGCACATAAGGGTACACTCTGTTTTGAATTAGTATTCTACATCACTCAAAGAACTGATATTATCTATTATACAAGGCAACAGAGTCCGGGGTTGGGGAAATACAGAATCAAGAAATATAGCTGCACAATGTTAAAATTCTTCCTAGAATGATTTCCATCCCTGGCTTTTTAGTTGTGTTTGAATAGCATAGTCATGAAACTGGAAGAGACTTTATGAATAGTCAGCTCGCTCAACCCATTAATTTTCCATCTAAGGACTTTCTCTAAGTCAAAGTCCTCTAGCTTGTCTCTAATCATACGGCTGTTCATTTGGCCAGCCCTAGCTGCATTAACTTCTGAGCTGGAGATCTCTATACTTTTACATCGGTAACAAATTCACAGTGAAAAAGACATTCTAAAATCAAAATTAGAAGTAATATTTATGTTTGTTTCTTAGTCCAAAGCTGGATAATTAAGTGTTGAAGAAATTAAGTCTTTATGAAAGACTGGGAAAACTTAAGCTGTGAGTGAGTCATTTTTTTTATCTTCCCATAAATCAAACAAAATAAAATGTAAGAAGTTGACAAATTTCTTTTGTTTGGGGGCAGGTACTATACAGTTCAAGCATATTCCCCCTGTACCCGATTCTTCATCTCAATGCTTCATTCCTTTCTGGATATATAGCTTGGGGTTGTTGATCCCAGTACACCAGGGCTACAATGGTTAAGCCAAAAATCCCTGCCTCTCTAACAGTAATCCAGCAATCTCATTAATCCTTTCCAAAGGCAATGATAACAAGAGTGAACATTATTCACATTAATGGAGGAAAACTAAGGAGCCAAGGCCAAAGGATGACCCAAGAAGAAGCATTTAATCCTCATAACTGTAGTTTATGATGAAAAACACCAGCATTGGCATGCAAAAATAATTCTCTGGGAATCCTTTAAAATTTTTCATTTTTCAGAAAACTTTATTGTGGTCCTGCTAAAATTATCTTAAAAGGATTATTTAAATGACATGTTTAGTGAAACTACTGTAACAATCAGAAATAATGTGCTAGATCCTAAATGGGGACAATGGTTCTCCAAACACACACATTTCTAAAACAGACTGGCATCATCTGCTTGGGTACTTAAACAATACACTGTAGCTAATGATTTGGAAAACATTTAAAAACCCACTGAAAGACCACACACACTTCATTTTGAAGACTGGAATGGCACTGCAATTCTAAAATAAGCTAATGAAAATCAAAATGCTGTGGAGATTCTCTAAAGTCAAAGGATAGAAAGAACAAAGGCTTACTTCAAAGAACTTCTGAATGACGTAATTTCCAAATACGTCCACCATTAGCTGGTAAGCGGCCTGGAGGATTTCATTGAAGACAAGCTGGCGCTCAGCTGGTGTGGCACGCTCTAGTTTCAGCTGAATGAATCTGAATTACAAAGTAAAAAGGGCAATCACAGCATTTTAGGAAGACTTAGAGATAAATAAGAATTAGCTCAATTTATAAAATGTATCAGTTATGTCTGAAACTGTGTGTGTGTGTGCATACACATACACATGGACCCAGGTGAGCACGTGTGTGCACACACGTGTTATTTAAATGAATCACTTGAGCTCACTTGAAGAATTTCTGAAAAGAAAAATTTTATAGTGTGAAATATCCTGAGTTTTTAAATTAGATCTAAATTTTAGTATATTTCATTAAAGTAGGACATATGTATAAAATTATATTTATATGTGGGATTGAGGGGAGACAAGAAAGGGGGAAAGAGAAGAAAGGAGGGGGGATGAATACAGGCATAACATAAGGAGAACTCTACCTGACTTTCTCCCTTAGAAACCAGTCTCACATTAATAGGCTAAAAGCTTATGGTCCTTATTATATTCTTTAACTCATATTCCTATGAAGCAGTATTCACTAATGACGTGGAACAGTTGTTATAAACATCTCCAATGTCTTCTGAAGTAGTAGCTACTCAGTTTGCCTTTTTTGATTCAAGTGACTATATCAGAAAAATCATGTTTTCTCTCAATCTGATCTACAAGATCTAAACATGAGAAATTCTTGCCCAGTAGCAAGCTGGCAGAACTTACAAAGTAGGTTCTTTAGAAGCTGTTTCAGTGTGCACAGAGAGAAAGAAGGAGAAATAGAAACAAATAAGAAAGATGGATGACATCATAATTATGCTTTCTCCCCAGGAACAAGGTCCCTTTTTGTGAAGCCCACTAGAACAGCCAAACAGGGAGGAATTTAACCCGGGCTAAATTCTGTGTTTTTAAATAGCTGCTTCTCTTTCAGCTCTACGCAGATTCTCATTTCTACAGAGAGGAGCAACAAAGAAAAGCGGTGGAGGTGTCTTACTCCTGAGCAGCAGAGAGCTAAATTTATACATGAATAATGTTTCCCTGAGAACAAAATTCTTAATAGGGGTTAAAGTAGCACATGTGCCTATGTCTTTGTGTCAGGGTTTCTGTTGCTTAAATTGTAGCTATTTCTGTGAGGTGCTTGTGAACTTGAAACACCAGGCTAATCATCTTTCAGAAAAGTAAAAAGGTTTGTTTTTACTAAGTATGTGATTCCGATTACTAAATGGCTCTTTTCAATCAGTTGTGTATGTGGTGACCCTCATAATTTATGTCCCTCTTGGAATTTAAAGCATTAAGATTTCAGTTAACTTAAGTGCCAAAGCCAATTCCTCACCTGGACCCATGCTGATCTTGAGAAAATTCCATTATATGCCCAGCAATTTCCCGCAGCTGTAAATTGGGATACCGGTTATTTCGAAAATCTTCCAAAAGTCTGCTCCTGCCAGAAGGCATGACATCAGACATTCCATATCGCAAACGAGAGGAAGAAAAAAGGGTGCTGCTGGGGCTGAAGAGGCTGGAGGCACTGCTTGCGCTGCGGTACTTGGCTTCAGCGCCTGGAGCAGCAGAGATGTATCTTCCACTGCCATTTGTGAGTCCTCCTGTTGGTTACAGAACAGGTGAACTCAAGACTCATTCTTAAGAAACTTTGTTCAAGAGAAGAAAAAAGCATCTTACACACGAAAGCCTGCCATCATCTCTGATTCCTTTTCAATTCTGTTGCTTTTGTGTTAAGATTCAACTCTATTAGTGCCCCAACTTTCACAAGGGCAACTCAGCAAACTGGAAATAAACTTTTGCACAAAGATTATGAAAATGCTTTTAACCACTGATAGGATTCTGCTAGCAAAATGGAGCAATAGTTAGTGACGCCCTTAATAAATAAAATGAGGAGGAAAGTGCCTGCCATGTGAACCAGCACCTGAGTACCAGGAATCAGAAAACACAAAATGCATGGAAACTTCAGTGGTTTTCCACTCTGAGCTCTGTGGAGAGTCCTCCCTTTTGTGAATAATCCCCAATCTCATCTGAAATACTCCCTTAAAAATATCGGGGTACCCAGATTAGCCTGTTTTACACAGGGAGCCCCCCCAAAAGCTTTGATGAAATGGTTACGCTGCTAAATAGAAGTCTGAAAATCACTAAAGCATCCCAAGCTTGAGGCTGAGACATAACAGGTATAAAGAAGGACAAATGCTTTGAAATGGAAGCTTTTCAAGTTCATCAGGAGTGGCAGCTCTTAACACCTTTGGCTGAGACAGAGCCTACAATGATTGCACTAGCGATAACTTTCATGCCACTGATATTGATTGCTATTGTGACTGATGACAAAGGAATAACTGTGAATCTCTAGACAGTTAAAATAGAGATAAGACCAACAGGCTTATCGAATGTAATGCAGACAAATAAATTATAATAAGTGTATTTCCAATATTTTTATTTTTTTACAATGCTTTTTTTTTTAACATTAGATTGTACTATAAAAGGGTATGAAATCTTACTGTTTTTCCCTCGCTCCTTTTAACAAAAAAGCAAAGTAGGTAAGAAATACTATATAAACCACAAAGAACGTATATAAATGACACTTCAGGATCCATGAGAAAAGTCACCTAAGGTGAACTTCTTCATAAGTTTTAATAAATGTTTAATAGTTAGAGGTTAATACTAGCTATAAAAATATACCCAGCTTGGACTTCTGCACAGAATTCTAGGGCCCAGCTTCAAAGGTGTGAGTTTCATTGAAAGTGACGGAACCAAAAGAAAAAGACTCAGTGTTAAAATCTTTAAAACATTTAGTGAGCCTTTGTCCTTCCTATGCCAGTCTCTATGATAGAAGCATTTCATATACATTTTCTATTAAATTTTCACTGACATTTTGGAGACAGTTTTAAATTCCCATTTATGTAACAGAAAATTAAGGCCCAAAGAAGTATAATGCTCATCCAAAGATACAAAACCCACAATAATCATGGCCAGATTTTATCACAAGACTCTTGATTACACAAGACTCATCTTCAGACTCAGTTACATCAAGTTTCCTTACTCTAAAGCAGCGGTCCCCAACCTTTTTGGCACCACAGACCAGAGCTCCTATGAGAATCTAATGCCTGATGATCTAAGGTGGAGCTGAGGCGGTGATGCAAGCACCGGGCAGCAGCTGCAAATACCGATGAAGCTTCGCTGGCTCGCCTGCCACTCACTTCCAGCTGTGTGGCTCAGTTCCTAACGGGCCTGGCCTGGGGATTGGGGAGTCCTGCTTTAAAGGACACTGTTATTCTTGTCAAATTCCACAACATTTCTTTATCCAAATGAAAAATATTTCTTTAAATAAAAGAAGAGAGAGGTTTTATAAGAAAAAAGAATAGTGGCCATATGGCTGTTCTTTATTCCATTTTAGAAATAATTCTTTCTTCCCTGGCTTAAGACTGGGGAGCAATGGGCAAAGACGTGGTAATCAAGCAGGTCAGCAGGTACTGGAAGAGTGTGATAACAGCATGGAACATGCTTAAGGAGAAGGAATGGTATGAACGCAAAAAGCTTTAAAACTGATTTCAAGGAATTTTAAGAACCTGGTCACTAACAAAGCACTTTGGGAAAAGTAAAGAATTAACAGAAAAACAGAATCACACTCCTAAAAGGCCTGACACACATCTATATTCACATGGAAGGTAGCCAGGCCCAAGGTTGAATGACAGGAACCAACCCTGAACACTGCTCTACCTCTACACTTATATGAGCCAATAAATGCACTGAATGTTTAAGTCACAATTTTCCATTACTGTAGCCAAAAGCATACTGACTAAAACCTAACACTGAATTCACTATAGTAAATCACAAATAAAGCCAACAATAAAGATTTATATATTTGCCCTAAGATTTTGATTTGGGGTTCTGGTCTCGCTGGATGCCAGACAGCATACACAGGCACGCATACACTCGAACGTGCACACACAGCTTTTATTATTAAGAAAGGAAGTATATAAATCTGAAAATGAAAAGATTTTCCCAGGTGCTATGTTATAAACAGCAAACTGACAGTTCACAGGCATATTTTGCTTGAGCCAATTAATTTTTCTTCAAACATTAAACCAATGCTTACAGTACGTTTTGCTTAAAATTATAACTTTTTAGTTGTTTATGAAAAGGTACCTGGCAAATAGCAGACCATCAGTAAGTATCCACTGAATGAATCTTTAGATGGGGAATACGCAGGAATGTTTTCTGGTTCACTATGGTTTACACATCTACATATTCTTGCACCCAAACTACTTTACCCCTTGAGGTAACACCTGAAACTGTTTGAATTTGCAACCCCTGTTTCAAAAGGAACATTTCACGCAGGGCCTCAAAAGGAGCCTCTTAGTAATTTCACAGTTTTCTACAGTATTTTGACAGTAGTGGATTTCACAGAACTATGTTGTATGACAACATTCCACAGAAAATAAGGGCTTGAATGTTTTGTTTAAATTAGTATGTGCAGGTTTCCAGTTCCACATGTAAGGAGCTTGGAATTCACCACTCCATCCTATAAAGCTAAAATGAACTGAAAAGTCAGCACTTCTTTCTGCATCCATAGAGAGGGGAGGACATGAAGAAAACCACTGCCCCAAGGTTGGAGAGAAAGGCAATTACAGGTCACATCATAGTTTATCAAAACAGGGACTCAAGAAGAAACCACTGCCAGAACCAGTACTGAATATGAAAACCTGAATTATAATTAATAGAACTGCTAGAGGACAGTGTGGACAATTCTGAGAGTTAAATCTCCAAGGGGACCCACTCATAAACCCCTCTCTTCCCCCATATTGTGAGGTTTACCTCCAGAAATCCAACCAAGCCTCACAATAACTATCAGAGAAAATTTTCCTTGGGCTTCCAGTAAGGAAAAGGGAAAAGGAACCATTTCAAAATATGCCAGAGCACTACATGCTTAACAAAGCCTGCCCTCTGGGGAACTAGTTAACCAAAGCCTAACCTACTGGGTTATTATCAAACATTAATCGACCTGGGGAAATGAAACATAATTCCAGCCTACTCAAACCATCCTGTCCCACCAAAAGGGGGAGGAAAAAAACTAATAAGCACTTGTGAAGCTGACAGTCCAGAGGCACAAGCTCACTAAAAGAATGAGATATGATCCTAGGACTACAGAATACTTCTCTTCCCCTGACACCTCACCACCACATTACCAAAAGACTGTAGCAGTTCCTTTAATGTGGTACATTAGACTTGGCTATCAAAAAAAAGAAAAAGAAAAAAAGAAAAAGAAAGGGGAGAGAAGGAGAGGGAG